AACTTACAGTTTTACACCGTACTTACAAATTTGTCTCCTTTTTATGTTAATAGGACGGCTTGTTGCCGATCTCATCAGTTGTACCCTGATTATGTTACCTGCGTTGTAGAGAAACGCATCAACTTTTAAAGCTAGACCACCGGCTTTGTTTGCTGACCTCAGTCATTGATCAGCCAATTCACCACAGTTCCAACATGTCCACAGCCGTAAACGTGAGATTTTACAGCTGATCATTATTGCTATTATGATGAGTGATAAACATGATTATAGCTATTGTCGTATAATGATAAGGATGATAATTATAATGATGATTGGAGTGATCAGTTATGGTAATGGTAAAGATTATTGTGATGATGATCGCAGGTACCGAATAGTTTGTAATGCTAATACCGACTTTAAACGATAACACCGCGTTACATTCAAATGGTCATAACATATGCATACTTTCATCATGGATGTCGATCAGTGGTAATTCCACATCACTTTCTCAGGTTTTTAATTATCATTTCCCTTTTAAACACATTGTCTTGTCCTTTAAAGGATGAAAAAGGCCCTTAATATCCAAGTAACTATACCTGTTACGAAGAGACTACAACATTGCGTCACCCTTCAATGTTGTCTTGCACTTTGATAATCTTCTCTACGATATTGATGTATGAAGAGCAGGCAACAGTGGTCACAATTTCTCAGATAAACGTTAGGTCGATTGCATTTTGTGCCTCAAGGTTAAGCAGTATGATGTGTAGCTGCTACATTGTGCTTCATTAAGAACACTAATCTGGCAAAATCGAACCTGGAACTATACAAGCGCTACAGCTCAACAAAGCGCAACTGAAGCCTGAGCATCCCGCCGCTAATCAGATTATTATAATGCAGTCACATACAAACCAAGAACTCACCTAAAACGCCAGTTCATTGTTCAGTACACCTTATCCGTTTGATCACATGCATTTTTTAAATGCAGTTTCGATTGAACTATTCTATTGCATTTGTCGACCGATTCGTAGAAATTTCATGAGTACCACAACGGCTAGGGGAATTCTCCGTTCCGCAACTCGTTGTGGAGAATGATGATTCTGCTGCAGTTGTTCAGTTAGTTGTACTGATTAACAGATCCTGAAGATGATGATTCGATTCCTTGGCTAACGTTTTCTGTTATGAATAGCGTAATCTCGTTTAGGTTTGATTACGGCCACACTGTCGTCAGAAATCTTCAAAGCTGCTCAGCCGGCTTTGCTTTACCTTGTACCATTCACTCTCCTACCTCTACTTCTTATGGCCTACCTGAAGGTACGTTGTTCGATCCGGGTCTTTAAAACGGAAGCTAACTCATTTTTTTAGGGTGATCTGCGAAGAATGTGGAGTGAGCCATTTTTAGACCATCTTAGCCCTCTGAAATGCCAAGAGGTGTAGTCTTGGATATACATTTCGTTATTTTTCTTGTTGAAAATTTCCGTCTTTCGATGCGTCGATGCTGTAAATTACCATTGTTTGAGGCCGTTTTATGTTTCTGCTATACAGCCAGCAGGGCACCCTTAAAATTTTAGACCATTCGTTTAAACGAAGTTTTAAATTTTATTTTTTATCTTTAACTGCCAACGTCTGTTCTCAACAAGCGATGCGCAATAAAGCTTCAGAGATATTTGCTTTTGTTGAATTTAGTTTTTTTATATTTTTATATTTTGTTAAGTTACGGCGTTACCAAAATCCAAATGTGGGCAAATAATTTTCTTAACTATGAAGTCGGCTTCGGTTTCATCTGAAACGCTAATCTTTATAGGCTGCTCGTAATTAAAAACTATGCGCTGTCCTTTCGTAATTTATCGAAACGTTATCTTATGCTGTAATCAATATACAGAAGAATGTAGAAACGGTCCATTTTAGACACAACGCAATTACATGATAAACCGATACTAATATTTACGCTTGCCAAATATTCCTAAGCAACTTCCTGTTATATCAACATCATTTCGACTGTGACCGCACGAATGCTTCGCCTCACCATTCAGTCGTATACGTGTTACAAAGTTGAAATCATGTGAAAAATTCAAAAAAGTTCTACGAAAACCCACGAATAAATGCTAACGACGAAATTATGGTGAGCTACGATGTGACGGACATCTTCACTAGTATTTCAGTCGATCTGAATGATAGTAATTGACCTAATCGAAGAATAACTGAAACAAGACTTAGACCTCAAGAATAAAACACCTTTCTCCCTAATTTAAATTTTCAAACTTCTCAGGATATGTCTCACTGGCTTTGGTTACATTCAATTCATTGGTCAATTGTATCGTCAGTAGAGAGGAATCCCAATGGATCGCCCTTATCCCCTGCTCTGGGTCATGTTTACAGAGCATTTAGAACACGGCCTTCATTACGGACAAAGCTGCCTATTCATCATTTTCCAAAAAGTATGTAGATGACATCCAGTGTAAAAATGGAAGTAAGACGCGGTTTCTGAAATATCTAAACAGCCTATTCGGAAGCCTCATCGTTTTCACAAGGGAGAATAAAGAAAACGGCACTCTACCCTTCTTGGATGTGCTGTTAACGCACCACCAGCAGGGCTATTTGACCACAAGTATCTGTATCACTGTTTATCATCTAGATTGCGTAAAGAAAGATATCACCAGTACACTTCTCTGAAGTGGACGGATGGTATGCATAAGAGATGATGATTTTCAGCAAGAACTGAATCACATCAGATCGACGATGAAACTGTGGCTATTCAATGAACACTTTTAACGAAGGCTTGGCAAGTTTGTCAAGGCGAACAGCTTCTTTCCGCTCACTTAATAGAGCCACTAAATGAAAAGCTACGACATATGGATCTGCGGCCAGACTTAATCTAGTATTCAAAACTGGTGTAACTCTACGTAGTCGCCTGAGCCACCTCAAAACTAAGAATCCTGAGGGGCGGAAAGCCGGATGGATATACCAACCCCTTGCTCCTGTGATTTGGTTTACAACGGATAACGCGGTTGAAAAAAGAAAGACACA